AAAAAAAATTCGCTGAAAGTCAAATAAAGTTGTATCTGGTAGTTGACAAACATATAAGGCACTGCTTACGATGACGGCGCATCGTTATTTATCACGAAAAAATTTTTAAGTGTTTGTAATAAACATTTGGTAACTGTTTTTGGGATTCATTCGGCATTTCGGTATATAATCTTGGGACCATCTTGTCACGATTCAATAAAGCGCACGTGTGCTTTCTTGGTCTCCGTAGCATCACAATAATACTACCAAAGAAATTCGCGAATAAATAAGTAATCTATAATATAATAGATAATAACTACTACATGTACGTCGTTCGAGTTTATGACATGTGCATTTTCACTCGTTCCTGTTTATTGTAACATATTTGTACTTTCACATTAAAAGCCTTAGTTGCAAGACATGCATATATACACGCGCGTATGAGAGTTATTACTATTACTTTTTCTTACCTTGTTTTTGTACATAATTTTACAATCCATAGCATGACATACGAGTATGAACGAACAAGTATTGCGTGGACGTGGGAGAATACGCATAGATGTATATATTAAATAAGTGTCTCCGTTACTTACTTACTACACTCGGGTTAGTTCCGCGGATGACGATTTCTTCATTCTCCGCATTTCTTTAGCGTTCACTTGTATTATACACCACCCAGTTTTACCAACTGCGCCCTTATTTTTATCTCCGCTGTTAAAATGTGACCTGCGGTGGGTCATTTTTTAAATTGCTGGCATAATACGTTAATTATCTTTTCCCCATTTCAACACAACGTTTGCAAATGTTTCGATTGAGGCCTCATTAANATAGCAAAATCTGTTTGTTTGTAATAAACGATGAGACAAGGAAAATTTTGTAAATGAACCAACAATTTATTAACTAAGTGAAACTTACAATCATCTTAGTTTATATATATATATATACCCTCAGAACGATTTATCAGAGACAATATTAATCGTAAACTTACTTTTTATTTTATTTGAATCTAAATTCTCTAACATTAAATTTTTCATAACGTAATAAAAAATACCAATCAATAAATCCGTATTATACAAATATATTTCACAGCCGAAGACATACTTACTATACCAATTAACCATAATCTAATGTACATGTACTGTAATTGTAACTCAAAGCATGAGTATTCATTCGAAACGTGCAATACAATAATAACATCAGCTGATTTCGCAGTGAATCAAGCAAAAGTCGCCGAGTCACGCGCTGATGTTCATTTACAGCCAAACCACTTTCCTTATCCGTAAACGCAATTTTTCGTCAACTTGATTTGTTCAACGTGCCGCTTATTAATGTCGATATAACGCAAAGTAGATGAAAAAATATACTTTTTATTCTACACTATATGTACACTCATGAAAAATTATCATCCTATAATTTTCAATGGCACATAAATTTTATTGAGCCTCACATAACAAAAGTTTGGACAAGAAGTAAATGTCTGTCTACTTTTCGCTCATTCTCGAGTAAATGTATCGCAAGCGTACAAATTTTTAATTACTTCACAAGTCACGTTTTCAAGCTTGTATATCTTAGATTTCGTTTATTCTTTTCATTATGTGAGTGCCATTAGCGGTGAGCAAAGTTTCATCGACTTAAGCGTCTATAGTTGTGTGTGTATAAATAGGAAAAAAAAAGAGAGAGAGAGAGCGAATAAGTTGTACCTCTGTGATAAAAACATTCGAGATAAACTAATATACAATGTTTTTAAGGTAGCAGTATGCGAACAAAAAAAAATTAGGCTACAAATTTTCCAAAGGCATTGAGAAAATCACTAGTGAAAAGAAAAATGCGCGTTTAATTGAAAAAAAAAAAAAAGGTCTGTCGCGGAAAAATATCGTAAATTTGCGATACTTTGATGGAAAAAGAAAAAATTTACGTGTACAGAGAATTGATTAGATTGAATTAAGAATGATTAATATATTCAGACAAGAGTAAAGACCTTTTTTAATTCTTGCACGTAAGCAGCTAAGCCAAGAAAGGAAATACTCTTTTAAATTGCTAAGGTATACATGCGACATATATTTAAAAAAGTATATATATATATTAAAAGCGAAACTGCGACGAAAAACGAAAAGTGACACATCTGGTGAAAGTGTCACTGAAGCGAATTGATGTATATTGACGATGAAATGAAAAATGTATTTGTTCCTGATAAAATATTGAAAATAATGAAACAGTAGATGTGTGTATATTTATATACGTGTACAAATGTGTATATAGATATATACATATTTACCTCGCTATTGTAAGACAAAACGATAATGATAAATTTGATGGTAACATACTTTTCTTATAAATAATAATATTATAAATTATATATATATATACATGGATGATAACTAGATAATTATTATGAAGTTGGTACGGTTTTTGACGATGCCTTGCCTGTAAATGTAGTACCACACAATACGTTGATCGAAAACAAAAATCTTATACCTTGTAAATGTTTTACCAAATATAATCGATTATGCAATACGAATATATTTGTGTTTTCTTATTACTTGCAACATCTTATACATTTACTTTAACAAACAAAGTAAATGATGACGCATTTACAGATTTAGTAAGGAATAGATATATTTTATTTTTTGTTATTTAACATATTTTTAAAAGATTTTTTACATTGATCATGGAACAACAAATATTTTTACTACTTTAAATATATTTGATTTGTGAAATGATTTTCGATTAAAAACTTGGACTCGTTGCTTGTCAAATACATATACTGTAGATACACACGTATGCGATTGGAGAGTTCTCAACAGCTTTTAAATCTTATTTATCAGAAAACATAAATTATTTCAGCATCACTGGAATACGCGACGCGCTGTAACAATCACAGTAATAATACGTACCTATTCCGATTATTAGTGAGCTTTAATCGAATTCCTCTATAGTTATTTACCTTCTATATCATCTCTTGTTAAACTGATAGTTTTTATGTATATATAGATGTATGTACATGCAGCACCATGCATATATTGTTGTATATGTATATTATAGATTTTATGAGAATTGCTTCGAACCATGATCATCAAAAATATTCCAGTAAATATCTTTCCATTTATCCTCTATTAAGTATACAATAATTATCTCTCATTCTCATCGAAAACGAATCGCAGACGCAAAATTTACTCGTTAAAAATATTGAAAATCGTTTGAAAAACTGATTAATAAAAATATAAAATCAATTAGGTGTACACACCCATAGAAAGCCAATGAAAAGTACGTGTAAACGCGAATTATCAAGTCCATCATCCGTTTTTTTTTGTTTACTGTATATAGAAAAAGACGTTTAGATTTTGGCCACAGTTTTGGCGAAACTATTGTTTATTTTTCATAATATCGAATCACGATTTCGTCTCTACCCATCTTATCCCGAATAATCCGTGACGTAACGCTTTTCCATGGCACAGTGAAGAATCAACGTGTATTGTGTAAATCACGTGTAAAAGTCCATCAGCTGCGTAAAATCGAACAAAATGATTGATTATCGAATCATCAAGAGATGCTCGCAGGATGGAAAAGAAGATCATCATCATCATCATCATCATCATCGTCAGGAGAGAAGGTAAGGAAGGAAGGAAGGAAGAAATGAAGGGTGGCGCTCAGTAACTGGCCTGGGGCGGTTTGTTGAGCTTGAGGCGGCGCAGGTCGAGGACGAGTTCGGCGCGCTCGGCCGGGGAGAGCCGGTGCTCGCTGCGGGTGGCCGGTGAGCGCGAGCGCGAGGAAGCAGAGCCCGGCCGTAGCAGCTGGGCCGAGGCGGGCCGTCTAGGTAGCGGTGGTCCGGCCGTGCAGCAAGCCTGGTACGTGTAGTGCTGCTGCGGGGGCTGCCGACACCGATCGCTCCTGAAACACTCGGCGTGTGGTGGTGGTTGCTGCTGATGATGCTGATGTGGTTTTGGCCGCCTCTCGTTGCAGGCCCGCCCCTAAGTCTAAGCTATTTGCTCGTAGTTGACCTTGTTGATGTAACTGGCGAGACAGCAGGCCAGGAAGACACCTGCCATAGGGAAGACGGCCAGTCCGAGGGCGCCTCCGGCCACGAGGCCCACGTTGTCCCGCGCAAAGTTCATCACGCGGCTGTAGCAGCCCTATTGGTTTTTTTTTTGTTTTGTTTAGTCGCTCGTTGATTATAGGTATCACCTTGGTTTGCAATGTTATTCGTTCACGCGACTCACCTCGGTGTAGAGGTCCTCGGCGCTGTTCGTATCGCACTCGCCCGGCTGGACGCTGCAGCACGAGCTCGGCACGGCCTTGGGCGGCGACATGTTCAGCCAGTCGGTGTAGGCGCGGTTACCGCAGCAGTGCAGCTACACGGACCAACGGACAAATTTTAAATAACGGCACAAGCATACAATTGGTCAGACGTGATGTTTGGGGCGGGTGAATTTATTGTTACCGTGCTTTGCATCGTGTCGACGTGCAAGTTCTTGGATTTGTCGGTGCCGTAGGCCGCGAGGGTTTCGTTCAGGCCCCGGTCGAAGCCCTCGATCAGGCTCGTGCGATACGAGTACATGGAGGCGCCGGCTGCCAGCTCGAGCAGCGCAACCATCGCCAGAAAGGCTCCGTACTGCAACATGCGGGTTATAACTTATATACCAACTATTATATCATTATACCGAGAGCATTAAGTGCCCCAAATTGTACTTGTATAGCCATAGCACCACTAGTGTGGCGTGGCTGGGTTTTTTTACACGCCAACCGATAAGATTTTTTTTTTCATCCCCGGGTTGATTTTTACCAAATGGTGATTAATATTTTTTTCGACTGTTTCCTGATATGCGGGACGCTACAGGGAATTTTAATGTTTAAACGATTTTTTGCACCAGCGTGTTTCAGAGTTTGTTTGCGTTTTTTTAAATCCAATTATAGCCCAACACATCACTTCATTATGTTGTTACATAAGGCTGCATAAATTACACATGCACGCGGCAAACGGGTAATGCAAAGTCTTGCTTCAATGTGCAATCGTAGCTGCAAAATGTGTAATGTAATGTAATTCTGGATTTAATTTTATCGAATTTCACGCAGGTAACGATCCAAATACCCTGAGTTTTTTTTTTTTTTGTAATTACGTATAGGACGGTAATTTGCATACATTTTACGAAAACATATTATATCGAGGTGATCGTTAAAACTCCGTATTTAAAATCAAAAGCATCATTAAAAGATGGACAAAACTTATTTATTCCAAATCCTTAGTGGCGTTTCTTTAGTTTGAGCCAGTGAAACTGGAATAAGTAGATCAAGTCAAGCGTGGTCAGACGGTAGTGCCCCTTTAATGCGCGAATGAACATAAAAAGGGGATATATGTATACCTACCCCCCGCAACATCGTCACAGCTGTTCAATAAAAACGAGTGCCCACTTGAAAATATATAGGCAAACGAAAGAAACTAGGCCACATATCGGCCACAATGTGTATATATGTATACGTATGCCTGTATAATAATGTAGCTAATAGACTCACCAGGTAGAGGAGTGCCGGATGCTGTCTGGTCGTGCAGCAGCAGGCGAGGACCCCGACGAGAGTGACTAGGGCGCCCAGGGAGGAGAGGGCCAGGAGGGCGGCGCCGCTGCTCTCGATCCCGAGATTCGCGTAACTCTGGAGCTCCATCCTCATGTAAATACCGACGCAGAGCATCGCCAGACCCGAGCACTGCGGAAAATAATATACACCCCCCCCCCATGGCTGTTTAGTTAACGTATCACGCACATCGCAATGAACAAACTAGCGAGTATTATTATTAACTACGCACGATGAAGACTAGATTGAAGAGCATGAGAAACACCGTCATGCAGGCCATGGCCGCGACGGTCTCCAGTTTCTTGGCCATGACGATGATGGTGTTGTTGTTGTTTTGGCACGGAGCTTAAGCTGTTGCTGCTGCTGCTGGGCTCGGGGACCTGATGCTGCTGGTGCAGCAGCCGCGATCGATGACGGAGCAGCACCAGGCAAACTCTCGCGCCGTCCCCGCGCACGCGCCCCTCGGCCCCATCGGCGCTCGGCTTCTGCTACTGCATCATCACCCGGCCGGTGCAGGTCGCCGGCACCAACGGCGACACTGGCCTCCAGCTGTCACACCACGCCAAATTCACGCTACTCCCGCTCGTGTTGTTGTTATTGTTGTTGGCCTCGTCCTCCCTGCTTCGGCACAGCTGAACAACACCCGGGCGCTGGTCGTCGTCTTCACGGCTCATCATCAGCCGCTCGCGTAGCTCGAGCGCGTCCTCGTCGTAATCGTCGTCGTCGGCAAAGTCCGAGGCGAGAAAGTCCCCGCAGTCGAGCACCTCGTTGTTGTTGTTGTTGTCGTCCTCGCGCGGGCCCCGGCGTACCTCGCCCACCGTCTTGAAGTAGATGCTGTGGTCGAGGCTGTAAGCCTCGAGGCAGTTGCTGTCGAGGTTCCCGTTGGCTCGGTAGGTACTGGCCTGCTGCGTGCCACAGCAGCGCAGGGGCGAGCGTTCCGCGACAGGCCTGAAGGTGGCATTGCGCTGTTGTTGTTGCTGGTAGTGGTGGTGGCGGGAGAAACTCGGGGCCCAGCTGGTCTCGACGACGAGCCGGTTGGTGGCGCGATTGATGGTCCAACGGTTGCTGTCCGCGGGCTCGTCGTGCATGGTCATGCGGCCGGGGGAGAGGCGCGCCGAGCGGAGCCTGTTGTAGCCCCGGGCGTAGGCTGCCAAGCGCTCGATGCTCTGCAGGACGTACTCGGTCTCCTCGCTCCACCAGAGCGAGAGGCTCCGCGGTAGTCCGGAGAAGCCACTGGCGTCCTCGGTCGCGACGCCCATTCCGACACTCGAGCTGGTGGTGGGTAGAGCGCCAAAGAGCGACTGGCCGTGGCGCAGTACTTGCACCGACCGTCGAGCGACCGTCGAGGGGGAAGCCTCGCAGGGGCTGGAGTTGGCCTCCACTTGGGGGATTTGAGCGCGTTATCTCAGCAGAGGTCAGCCGGCAGCCGCTCGTCTTATACCGATCCTTTTTCCGATTCGGCTGTGTGTGTGTGTTGGGGGGGACACACGTAATTTTATTCCATTCGATCGAAGGATGACGCGATTTGTAGCGTCGGGAGTGCTCGTTATGATGTTTGGCACTTGTTGGGAATAATGCCAAGAGCGCGGTAGATACGCCGTTTTTGGCACGTTTCTGTAGTTCTCGTGTAAGTATATTGTCTCAGACTTTTTTTTTCGACGTTGCATTACATCTTAGTCGCGTGTTGACCAATTGTACATCTATACTTTCTCTAGATTTTTCTAGATTCGCGATATGTTTCCAAGTGCTTGCGTTGTTAATTTTACTGCTGACTCTGGACTGTCTCATGCAGTAGAGGTTTCGTTACGCAAACACAGATATTAATTTGTTAAAGTTTGACAAAACTTAACAAAAACAGAGAGTTATTAAGGGATTTTTTTTTTTTTAATGAAATTTGCTACTTACATTTACAATTTAGGAATATATTTTCATTACCATTCACATAAGTGGTTCGATACTATGCTTCAAGATTGCGAAATGTTATGAAATTTTGAGGATTCCCTTTTGAGATAAGATTGGAAAAAAAAAAACCATGAAAAAATATACCTCTAAGTAAAATTCTTGAACTTATTTCGTCTCGCGAGTTCATTAATTTCCCCCAAATCGGCAATAATGTCGTGGCACAACAATGTAGAGAAAAAGAAAACAGTTTTCCCACATGTTCGTTTTATATTATTCTTCCGCAGCATGTTATTTCTTGTTATATCACATATACTTACTGTCTATACTTAAATTTGATTACTATAGTTGTTAAGTATGACTTCTCTATACAAGTGCGTCATATTTTTAAAAATTGCTGCTGTGCTTATTAAATTTTAGAGTAATTTTTTTGTATTAAAAAAAATAGAATTTATCAAAATTACATTAGTTTTCTTGAATCACATTAAGTCTGGAAAGATATCGTCAAAACCAGCTATTTCTCTGTAACTCTTACAGCTTACACTTATTTGTCATGAATAAAACTTGTAGGTTTCATCAAAATAAAATTTTTTGTATTTTCGTCTATTACGCGTAATGTCGATAGTCTCAATGGTAAGAGAACATTTGAAAAATAACAACAAAAAAAAGTTTTTGGCTCATCGCAGTAAAAAGACGATATTCTAAAATAAAGTTATGTAAAAAATTTCGACAGCATAAAAATTAATTTTTTTTCATACTTCGTGTTAGCACCGAGTATCAAATGATATCCTGAAATTCGAAAAACATGGAAAATAACACCAAATTTTGGCCAATAACATTGAATTTTGACAATAAGGTCCAATTTAGAAAATTTATTTATATTTAAAAAATCGAATCAAATAAAACTTTCGCTTCGAACTTTAATTTTTTTAGCGGATTTAATTTTGTAGTTTTTTGGTATAGAATAATGTTATTAAATTTGATCACTATTTTTACTGACCTACTTTGAAACATTGCGTAAGTTTTAGCGTTATTCGACAATACGGTCATTTTTTGTAATATGTATAGGTCCACGCACCGATTGACACGAAGCTACGAAGCTTTATAAGTCTAGGTAGTTAGATTTTATAAGATTTGAAAGTTCTAAGCCCTCGACGTAAGTGGCAAGCTTTCCGATTCTCGACGTTTCGTAACTCCACTGCTGATTTTTCGTAATTCACGCAAGGCCGACAACAGAATGCGCTCAAAGCTTATGCAACGCCAGATTTGTTTTTTAAAAATTTCTTTTTTTTTTTTTTTTGTATGACATGGTCACTAAGCACGTACTGTACGTAAGTAAAAATCAGCTGTAAATTTTAGTATAGGAATGTACCTTAAGAAACTATTGGCTGTGAGGAATGGGACAAATAAAATATTCTGGTATTTTATGAATGACTATTTATTATAAAGATATAGCCTAATGTACTCATAAGGTTCAATCAAAAGATGATATACATTAGAAAACTTGTACTCAAGGTATAGCAAATTATAAATCAGCGAGACCCAGCTCGTACAAAATCGAATCGTCCACATGTTGTTTGTTCCACCTTTGCGTGTACACAAATCAAGTATAGTTGTAAAAAATTTAACAAGAAAGTCAACTGACCAAATTAATTGTTTCGCTAGAAACTTTGTACATGAATAGTTAACATTAAGAGTAACATACACATCTGTAAATAACATTATTTCATAACTGTTTTATATCATAAGCACATCAAACAAAAAGTATAAGTTCCAACACAATAAAATTTATACATTTATTTGAAAACGACCATAAAAAGAATTCTATGAATGATTTTTATTAAGCTATCATTAAGATTATTTTTTTATCATTTTCGACATTTTTATTTGATATCATATGGCCAATACATGATGTAGGCTTTAAATTTTTTTTTTTTCATTTTTTAATGTCTGAATTTAAGCTTTCGAAAAATTGTAACTTTACCTATGTACATTATTTATTATTCTTTGCAATTATAGACTAGAATGAAATAAGACGACCATTGTTTGAAAAACACTTTTTTTTTTATTGAAACAAATACTACTATTATTTTTATAGAAACATTTTTTAAATTTTTAACCAAAACTCTTAAGAATACTTCAAGGGAAAAATATTTCTAATTTTAGTTTAAATATTTAAG